GCGCCACGGCCCTTCACCCCACGAGCACCACGTTGAGACGGGCACCGAGCACCATTCCTCCGAGCACGTGTGATCAGTGTGTGGGCAATAAATCACCCTCCGGGGCTCTTTCTATCAGTACCGAGTCTGTGTTCTCATTCACCCCGCGACTATATATATATATATTTCTATTTCTTTTTTCTTTTTTTTTTTGTGCTTTTCTCAGTCGGAGACAGACAAACAAGTCCGGTGATTTTTGTCTTTTAAACCAGAAAGACGGCTGACAGATCTGACGTTAACCGATGCTCGCGCCACAGAAACTACGGTAATTTAACAGGTAAGTTAACGTTAACAGTTAACGTTAGACAAACCCGCCCATTCACTATATTACAATAACTTTGAACTTTTTCTTAATCGTTATTTATGATCCGCTTCGTCAGGTTCATCTAGCATATCCATGTGATGCTAATTAAGTTTACTAATGCAGCCGAAGCCCCGGTAAACAAAGCGGCTCGAGGAGCATTTATGATGGCTGTTTTGCTAACGTTATTTACCATTTCAGACTGATATTTGTGCCTCGCGTTTTTTTAATTTGAAACTCATACTTGCATATGTTTTTGAAATCAATGTTTTCAGCGCAAAGGCAGCGTGGAGTGATGGGATGTCAAAAGCAACAAGATGGCTGCAACACTACGAGCCTAAAGTGAAGCAAGTAGAATTCACATTGATTTAATTGATGGGTTTTAGTGTTATGCGAGATGTAAACCATCACATTTTTTTTAAAGTATATATATATTTTCATTTTTGGATTAATTGTAGCAGCACAAACGGGTCTTCTGAAGCAGTACAATATTTTAGAATGAAATTTAAATCTGAACATTGATCAACTCATGCATACACAGCCCAGACAAATACTAGTTCTTTCACACCACATGAATTACATCATGATATCCAAGGATCAGTGATGTTTGATGTAATGTAGTGTGCCACCATTTTTGATTCAGACTGTATTGGCAGAATGAATAACATATTACATTTCAGTTTGCTTTTGATTCAGAGTCATTATGCTTCAGAAGAATACGAGCTGGGTCTTGAAAGTTCTAGTTATAGTAGGCTTTCTTAATATGGATTAAAAAAAAAAACTAAAATACACTTAGTACAAAAATAGTTGTTCCAAAATAGCACACTTCAAGTTAACTAATCATTAACACACTTGAAGTATACTGACAATTAGTCTGGCTGCAAGTATACTTGGTATACTTTTTTTTCACTAGGGGTCACATGATCCTACCGAAATTATCCTGCTGATTTGCTGCATTTCTTATGTCAGTGTTGAAAACGGTCATGCCTCTTAAAATATCAAAAGAACAGAACTGTATTTGAAATAGTTTTTTGTAACATTATAAATGACTTTACTTTTCACTTGTCACTTATCACTTTTGATCAATTTAATGCATCCTTGCTGAATAATAGTATTAACTTACTGACCCCAAACCTTTTAACAGTAGTGTGTATAAAAAATACGTAAAATATAAATTATAATGACTGCAAAAATACTTATGTTTTCGGCTGGAATTCTATCTTCTTGTGTGGCTTTTCACGTTCAGTGAGGACAGATAGACAGATACATTACTTGACAATGATAACTGGTCATCCTAGTCTCGTTTTAACATTTATTGAGTGCGATTCTAATTGGTGGTGGCCATTCTGAGTGAAATATGTTTTTTTTATGGTTATCTACAGTATGCAGTATCTCTTATCTGTGTTTCTCTGTCTCAGATATGAAGGCATCATCATTGTGAGGAACGGAGGAACTCGTGGAGCTGTTTCAGTTAGGTGGAATATAACAAGAAACTCCACGGATAGGACTCCAGTCTCTGCTGACCTTAACCCTACATCAGGTACCCTGAGGTTTGCTGAGGGCCAGATGAATGCTGTACTGCCTTTAAACATCACTCAGGACAACTTCCCTGAAGAGGCCGAAGCCTTCGTCCTCAGACTGATCCCTGGATCTGTAGAAGGAGGGGCTGAAGTGGATGAGCCGATGGAAGTGAGTGCTTGGCATGTGCTTGGTTTTTAGTTAATGCATTTAGAGAATGTGTTTGGATTGCAGATCACAGATCGGTGGTGGCTCAGTTCTGAGATGGATTTAGTTATGAAAGATGAAAGTGCAAGTTGACGTTGATGACAGCTTGAAGCACTCTCTTTAATTTTTGGAAGGAAAATGTTATGATTCATAATGTGCCTGGGCACTGGTTGTCTTACATGTTCACATGTCACCCACTTTGATGGTATTCTAGACTTTTATGCTTAGTTTCAGGCATCCGTGGTAGCAGATCCCTTTTGGACCTCACTCGTAGGCTTGTGGTGAGACATCCCGGGAGGTTGTTGTCTTACTCTGGCTCATACCCTTTGTCAAAGAGGAAGTTCCCAGATCAGAACTGGTTCTTAGTTACCATCTGGGCAGCACTTAGTCCGTTTAAGCGGATGTGGTGTAAAATGAGACACATGTGTCTCTGGCACAGCAGCAGCATCAGACTGCTGGTTACATCGAGTGTCACTTGGGTGTTCCCTTCATGTGGTCCCAGTACAAAATAGAACGCAGCAGAGCCTGTGGGTGGCTGTGTGTTCTCTTTATAACTTGTCTGTTGCAAGTTTGATTATGTGTAAAAGGAGTGGATAAATCCGACCTGAGTTTATGTTTAAACCCATCAATTAGCCATTACTGTGAGCATAAGTTTGATAGCTGAACTGACTCTGCAGAATGTGTGAAGATTTACTGTGAAGAGCTTATTCGTGTCAACTGTTCCTAAATTCACTGAAAAAAAATCCCAAAATTGCAGTACTACAAATATTTAAAGAGGTCTTGTGCCTTGGTCTGATGAGGCTTGGGTAAATAACAGAGTCATGAACTAGCTCATGAATGCTATTTTTACACTCTTGTGATGTCTAATGAAAGAGAAGAGCTTTCTAAGATTAGTTCACTGTAAGTTTTACACGGATAGTCCAATGTTACCTTCACTGTGACGAATGGTGAAATTAGTTTATTGCTGTGGCTTTGCAGGATTCTAAATAGAGAGGAAAAGATTAATTATTTTAGAGTTCATCACAAGAGGAAACTGATTTTTAAAGCAGTGCTTCGGTTGCAAATGTTCTTCTCTATTAAAAGCATCTGCTACTCTCTCCTCAATGTTATGGTTGGAGTTAGGAAACAAAAAGAAAACTCATGTTTACAGAAATTTGTTTTCATTGGAAATCTTTGGGGCAAGACAATTCAGAGAGTTTGAAATGTCAGAAATGTATAAATGTTTTGTGCAAGTGTACAGAAATGTGCACTTTAACAAAAAAGGGCTTGTAATTTTGTTAAATAGTTTATATTTTTCCATTCAAAAACAGCTTCATGTGAGCGTAACATAAGCAGTACTTGAGCTTTGAAATTGTCTAAATCCTCTTTTTGGCAGTAGGACTACTGTATTAGCAGAATGAACCTCTAGTTGTGCAATACCAATGTGTAATCCTTAAAGGGGTCATATGATGCTTTTTTAAAGATCATTATATATCTTCTTTTATGTACCACATACTTCCAAAACATTATTTATGTTAATGTTTATTCTGAAGCAACTTCTTGCCCCATAGACTTTCTTTGTAAGTGCATTACTGTATGTTTGCTTGCTGAAACAAACTGAAAGATGAGTGATTGAAATTAGTGTTTAAGGTAATCGTCCGTAACCTTCCTGTAAGGAACCTGAATATGTTGTTCTTCCTTCACAGATGGTGTTCTTCATTCAGGACAGTGATGATGTCTATGGTCAATTTGGCTTTCATCCAAGAGAGAATCAAAGTATTCAGAGTCAACCAGAGGGACGCTTCCTGTCATTTAGTTTCCTCCGAGAAGGGGGGACCATGGGAGAGGTACGGCTTACGCTAACTGCCCTGTACATACCTGCAAGACCACTGGACCCATCATGAGCCAGGGATGGGGTGCTGAATGGAACAAGTGTCACCAGTGTGCTGTTCAGTTCCGGTCAGACACGAGCTCGGCTAATCTTGCCCATCCACAATGATGCCTTCTTGCAGAACGGGGCTCATTTCCTCATTCAGGTAGGATACATTACTCAAATAATTTTTTGACAATGTTGAGAAATGCATATACTGATCAAATATATATAGCTCGAATACTCTGTAGTTAAAAATATCTGTATAAAAAGTAATAACTTTAATTATGAAAGTGTTTTCAATTTCTTTTTTTAATTGATTCAAGTTGAGGTTGACATCATCAGTTTTTGTTAATTATATAGCAATGTTGTGATGGTATAGACTGCAGTTCAAAAGTTGTTATTAAAAAAAGTGTTTTATTTATCATGGCTGCACTAAATTGATCAAAAGTGACAGTAAAGACTTTTATAATGTTACAAAAGATTAGTATTTCAAATAAATGCCATGTTTTAAGCTTTCTGTTGATTAAATAATCCTAAAAAAATATTAGGCAGCAAAACTGTTCAACACTGTAATAATAAGAAATGTTTCTTGAGCAGCAAATCAGCATATTAGAATGATTTCTGAAGGATCATGTGACACTGAAGATTGGAGTAATGGTGCTGAAAATTAAATCACTGGGTTAAAATATATTTCAACATACTGTATATTCAAACAGAAAACAGTTATTGTTAAAATAGTTCACAATATTACTCTTTTTACTCTATTTCTAATTATATAAATGCTGAAGAGAATTCTTTCAAAAACCTAAACAATATAAGACTTCTGGCTTGTTGTCATGGGATTTGTGTTGCTTTGTTGATTAAGCGGTGCAGACAAGCAATACAAGAACCCTTGAAAGGCAGCAAACATGCTCTCATAGCATCTCAGAAGAGGATGGCGAAGCATGTGAAGTGCTTGTGTGACAGGCAGAGTTGCTCATTGTTTTATAAAATGTTTTTTTTTCTTCCTTAGTATCACAAACATGGATTGGCGCTTTAAGTGAATTGTTGTGTGCTTTCCTATTGAAATTGTTACAACCAGGTGTATTAACAGGTAATGGATTCATGTCTCTCATTAGTTGGACAGTGTGCAGTTGGTGAACATCTCTCCACAAATCCCATCTGTGAGTCCTCGCTTTGGAGGAGCTCTGAACATCTCTCTGGTCATCACACCGGATATTGCTAATGGAGAAATTGGCTTCACCAGTAATCAGACAGTGGTGGTTCTGGAACCAGAAGATTCAAATACCAGCTTGGTATACAACAATCTCACAGACAGTTTTTTCGTTACATTTTCAAAATCCTAAATTTACTCAATTTAATCCTATTTATTTTGGTGTTTGATTTCAGAAAATTCCCAAATTTTCAATGTGGTCTCAGACTTTTGTGCCCTACTGTACAATTGGCTGGAGAAATCATTGGCAAAATTATTTTTTCCTTCCTCTAGATAACTATTGAGCTGAGGCGAGATGGGACGGATGGCCAGGCAGTGGTCTTCTGGAGTCTGCGGCCCGCTGGAGAGAACAGAGATGATGTGACTGTGGGTGACATTTCACCTTTCACTGGATCGGTCAAGTTCCTCTCAGGACAAAGTGAAGCAGTGATTAACATCACTGTAATGACTGACAGCATACCAGAGATTAATGAGACCGTCATTCTTACGTTAGACAGGTCTGTTTAACTTGTTATAAAGACATTGAGATGTTTCAAATTGTGATCAAGTCCAAATACTTTTTGGATCCACTATAGTCTACAGTGGATCGAAGTGTTGGTTCCTTTCTGAAGTTTTACCTGATGACTCCTTTCAGCTGTTTCCTTTAATCTGGGAATTATCTTGTAATCATTGTGCTGGGACACTCTTTGTCCTCCCTTCACAGGGTAGAAACCGCTCGCTTTGTAGTGTACTTCAGGTAAGTGCTTACTTGAAAGACTGTGCCTTATTGTGTGCTGTGAATCAACTCTTTATGTGGAAAAGCATCCACTCTGAACTTTCAGGGCTTTGTCTTAACGTTTCGATGGGGTATGTCTCTTTATCTGGGTGTGTGAAATGAATAGTAAGAGTGTGTTTGTATATGTTGGGGGTGACTGCACTTGGATGCAGGCAAACACTGCTTGTACTCATTTAGCACCTCATTTACGGAGTTCCTTTATCCTGTCCTGTAAACACATCAGTGTTTGTATGCATGCAGCACATCCTCTGAATGCATTTATTTGAAACACTTCTCCCGCAAGCTCTTTGTCTGCCATTTTACTAATTATCTGAAGCCATCAGTGCTGGCTCAGACCAAGCGAAGCTCAGTTTATACACAAGACCCCTGCTGAGAAGGGAGGATAGTGGGTTGCTCTAAAACATGACTTGTCAAATCAGCATATCCAAGAGGCCTTAGGCCAAGCAATTTAAGACACTTTCACATTCCAGCGTGACCACACTCATACATATCCAAAATATGAATCTGGCAAATGGTTTGTCACAGAATATTGGTAATAATTTTTCCTTATATCATGCATTTTATATCATATAAATCTGCCCATACTGCTTAAAACAAAACATGATTGTGCATTATAATCTACCATACAGTAATATATCATAGTAGATTTGTTCAGCTTTTTAATAATATAACTTTTCAGTGTCACTTATTATCACCATGTTTCTCCACAGGACAAATGTGGACAACCAGATACTTAAACCAGGTTTCACCAGGCGAGAAATTGTCATTCTGGAGAACGATGAGCCTGGAGAAGTATTTGAGTTTTCACCACTCTCTAAAGGACCTTGGTTAATCAATGTAAGGCATTCATTCATTCATTCACTTTATGATTTAATTTTCTTATTTATTTACAAATGTATTATTTTTTATTGATTTATTCATATTTTATATATATTTTCTTTATTTTAAACATCAAGATTTTAAGTTATACTTTTTATGAAAATATAAATGTATACTTTGTAAATGGTCACCTGTATAATTAGTATAATATAGTCTCTCATCAATAGTCAGTAGTCATACAGATTGACAAATTAATTAAATGTTAAATAGAATATTAAACTATTCGACTGTTAAATAGACTGTACGACTACTGAGTATTGACAAACAAATTACAAAGTATACAGTTATATTTTCATAAAAATATAACAAACATTTTATTTATAACTTTAAATCTTGATGTAGAAAATACAAATAAATTCAAAACAAATATTAACTAATAAGACATTTCTGTATGTGTAAATTTTAGATGGAGTTTAGCATGTACCTTTCATTCATTTATCTTTTCATTGCAATTACATGGAAACTATGCAAAAATGTGACATGTTTGGATGATTTGTTGGCTATGCAGGAGGGGGAAACGGTTGAACTGAGGGTGATCAGAGAGCAGGGGCAGCTACTAAACCAGCTCATAAGATATACAGTGATTCCTTCTGGAAATGCTCAGTTTTATGGGGCCACGGGGATCCTAGAGTTCCAGCCAGGGGAGAGAGAGGTGATGGTGGCCCTGGTAGCCAAGCCTGATGGGATACCAGAGGTAAGTCCTCAGTACGTATGATTAAGGCTTACTAACGTTTATTATAATATGTCCTCTGATTAACTGACGTTGTGTTACATAAAAGATGATCTACATAGTTTCTTATACTTCCCTTAATGTTAGATTACTTTAACACTTCATGTTTGGAAATTCAAAATGTAAGCAAACCTGACTTCTAAATGATTGTCTGATGTTTTGACTTTAGCTAGACGAGACATTCTCAGTGGTCCTTAGTAGCCACAGCACGCCAGTTAGTCGCCTTGGCAACCGAAGGCAGGTCAACATTACCGTGCGTTGGAGTGATGACCCATTTGGGGTCATTGAGTTCATTAGGCCTGACCTAGACTTCACCATCAATGAAAGTAAAGCCATGGATTCTCAGTCAGGTATGGAGATCTATAAGCTACAGCTTCGGGTCACTCAACTTTCTTATCTTTTAGAATAAGTTTAAAATTATAACATCTCATAATTCTGTATGATAGCATCCTACCCCATTGGGAGAAGCAGGGGTAGGTTTGGGAACGTGTCTGTCTTCTGGATTCTTGAGCCGACCTATACAGGAGACATCAATCCAGTGCAGGGTGAGATCGTCTTTGCTGAAGGGGAGTACCTGAAAAACCTCACCCTATTTTCTATGCCAGATGAGGTAAGCTTCAGCAGTTCATAATATCATAAGTATATACTTATGTTTATAAAGCAGATGCATATCTGTAGTACAAATGATTTTTTGTTTGATGCAGATCCCAGAGAATACTGAAAATTTCACCATCACCTTTCTGAATACAATGGGTGGAGCGAGACTAGGAAACATTCTCAGTGCAAGCTTAAGAATTCGTGAGAATGATGATCCAATATATTTTGCCGGTATGTTTGACATTCAGTGCAATGTAAATCTTAATTTGAAAATAAAAGGTTACAACGGAGCCTGTTTCTGCCTCTGAGTTTAAAAAATTTTGAGTAATAAAGTAATTAGTCACACTGTGACTGTAAATTCATATTTTGGTATATACTGTAAAGCAGCATTCAGTTGTGAGAAGTAATGAAATTATGAGAAACAAACTCATTATATACAATTCTGTTCAAAAGTTTGGGGTCAGTAAGTTTTTTTTAACGAAATTATTTATTTAGCATGGATGCATTACATTGAGTAGAATTGACTATTTGAAATAAATGAACATTTGAACTTTCTATTCATGAAAGAACTCTGGAAAAAAAGTATCATGGTTTCCACCAAATGTTTTCAACATTGATAATAATAATATATATATATCTCTTGAGATCCAAATCAGCATATTAGAATGATTTCTGTAGGATCATGTGACACTGAAGACTGGAGTAATGACTGTTGAAAATTCAGCCTTTTCATCACAGGAATAAATCACATTTTAAAATATATTAAAATGGAGTAGTTATTTTAAATTTGAATGATAATTCATAACATTGCTGTTTTTACTGTATTATAAATGCAGCCTTGGTAAGCATAGGCTTTTTCAAAAATATAAAAAAATATATATTTTTAATTTTATGGCTGTTTTATTAGTCTTCTATACTGATATAGCTGCTCACTGTATCAATATCAAAATAATATCAAAATTTGTTCTTCTTTTGTATTGTTTTATAGAGCCTGTGGTTCAGAGGGTGCGAGAAGGGGGCGTGGCCAATTTCATCATTCTGCGAGCTGGGCTAGCTAACTTTATCACCATAGTGAAGTATCGTTTTGAGTACGGTGACACATCACCAGGAGACTTCACTCCACTGAGTAACGACTCAATGTTCGTCTTTGATTTTGGAGAGTGGATGAAGAACATGTCTGTTGCGGTGGTAGATGATGACATACCAGAGACAGATGAACCATTCTACATAGTCCTCTTCAGTGCCACAGGTTTGTCACGTTCTCAGCTTCCAATTAACCATATATGCAGAGTATTTTATGTTGCAAACTTTGGGTCCTATTCAACATGCATTGCCTTTTGGTTTGTGCTGCATTATTTTGGGTGACTTCTTTTGCCAGCCCTTCAAATCCCCAACTTTTAAGTGCATTGTCTATGTTGCCCAATTAGCTTCATTAAATTCCCTCTCTGAAAGACAAATACTGCTCTTCAACTCTGCTCTGTAGTGCCAATAAATCCACCCCATTAAACATTTGTTTTGATTCACACAGCGCTCTGTTGATTGGCCTTGACTCTCAAAAGCCCTCTCTAATCCTTGTATTGTGGAACACGCACACATTCATGAAAAGGGTTGGGTGAATGTAGAAAGTTAATTACAAAACTGTCCTTCTGCAGATCACAAAGCAAACCCACCAAGAGCTGTCTCTCTGGAGGTTTTACCACGTACCCTGAAGGATTTTGTTCAGATACATTGGTGTTATTACGACATAAAGCTGAGCTTTTGAGAGCGTAACATGATTGCTGTGGTTAATTTGTACCAATTACAGCAGTGTTACATGTAGAATGATATTTAGCATGACAGTTACAATTTGTGAATGTTACACAAATGTGCTGCCACAGATTTGAAAGCGCAAGCATTTATTAATGAGAAAATTGAAAAGGATTCTGAATAAAATTTTTGTATTATTCACAATGAATCTGACTGGAGTTATACTTGATTGAACTTTTATTATGATCATTTAATTGCATGCTAATTTGTGCTATGTCACAAAAATGTGATAACATTTTCAATGCAATTCTGTAATGTAATATAAAAAAAGGCTTGGTCACAAAGATAATTCCAATAATTGTTCGCCTAATAGATTATCTTTCAAAAGTTTGACATTAAGAGTAATAAGAAATGTGTCTTGATCATCAAATCAACATATTAGAATGATTCCTGAAGGATCATGTGACACTGAAGCTTGGAGTAATAACTGCTGAAAATTAAGCTTAGCCATTACACAGGAATAAATTGTATTTTAAAATAGAAAACATTTTAAATTGAAGTAATATTTTTTTTTTACTGTACTTCTGATCAAATTAATAATGCAGACTTAGTGAGCATAAGAGACTTCTTGTAATCTTAACAGCCCCAAATATTTGAACAGTAGTGTGTGTTAAAATAGTTGTGTTTTATTTCATTTTATAAATTTTTGCAGATATCAAGACAGATAGAATGACCAATAATGCTGCCAAATAAATGTGAGAGTATGAGAGTGATACTGTACTTAAGTGTGTTTGTATGGGTCTTGTCAGGTGATGCAGTGGTATATGGTCAAGACACTGCTACAGTGGTGATTGAGGCCAGTGACGATGCCAATGGGATATTCTCTCTGGATCCCACTCAGAAACCAGTGGAGGAGGGAAGAACCAATAACTTTTAGTGAGTCTCCAATTCTCTAACCAGATGTAAATTTCATTGCAGATTCATTGCAGATTCAAATAAAACAATGCTGTCTTTTAGTATTAGAAAAGAAGTATTCATGTTCTACTCTCTGTGAACTCATGTTTCCTTTTGTTTCTCCAGTGTTCTTCGAGACAGAGGACACTTTGGTAATGTCACAATATACTGGCAGCTGTTCGCCAATGACACCCCCCTTGAACCTCACCAAGAATTTCTGAACACATCTGGTTCTATAGTATTTCGTACAGGGGAGAAGGCGAAGCCTATTGTTCTTGAAGCCATCTCAGACAAGCTCCCAGAGTTCAATGAGTTTTATGAGCTCAGACTTATGAACGTCTCAGGTAAAGTCAATATCAGCGGCCACTGGGTTTAGTTAATCATTCTTAAAGGCTTCACGAAAGCTTTTTTTTCTTCTTTTGGAAAAATGGACCAACATATTGATGAATAATGCACTACATAGATTTTTGTCCAATCAAATGCTCTCTACACTCAGAATGTCCCTCCCCATAATACCACCTGAAATCAACTAAGTAGCAAACTGTTTTTCAAGACTGTAACCTAACTAAAACCAATTATTAAAAAAATTGTAATGATCTTTCTCGAAAAGTATGCAGAGTTCCTGTTTTAACAGCAAGTACTTCACCACAGAAAAGGAAGCTGCACTTATTCCATGAGGTCTTTAAGCTTTAAAGTTAGTTTTTAAGTGCATATTTATTACATCAGTTACATTTGAAACAATGTTGTCTTTAGGTGGCTATCCTGGTGAAGGAGGAAAACTGGCAAAGAAAGACCTCAATGCATCCGTTCTCATTCCTTTCAATGACGACCCATTTGGAGTTTTTGCTATTGCCCCTGAGAGTCTGGAGCATGAGGTAGCAGAGGACGTCTTGTCAGTCAGTGACATGTTGGATGTCACATCCTTCAACATACTTCGTCAGCAAGGCACATTCGGAGATGTGCGTTTGGCCTGGGAAATCCTGTCAGGAGCTTTCCCACATGGTCTCCCACCCATGGAAGACTTGACATTGATGGCCTCATTTCCTCAGGCTGTAGAGCTCCGACCACATGCCAGAAGACGCCATGCTGGCATTGATGCGTTCTTCTTCTCTGGACTTCCAGGAGCTTATGGATCCATCAGTGCAGAAACCCATCTGCAGGTTCCAGTGAACCTGGCTAACTTTACCCTGTCAGTCTGGCTGATGTCCAGGCCTAATACAGATGGATTTATTGTTTCTAAAGGCAACAAGAATGGAACTATCTATTACGGAGTTCAGGTCCAGACTAATGAGTCCTACGTTACTGTTATGCTTCATTACACAACCATAGGATCTAACAGCACACAGGTGGCACGAGCTACTGCAACTAAATTTGTAGAGGATAATACATGGGTTCATGTTGTCATCGCTGTGGAAGATGGAATTATTGAGTTTTATCTGGATGGGAGCCCAATCCCTGGGGGGATTAAGAGTCTAAAAGGAGAAGCCATTGTGAATGGTGAGTAAAGTTTGTCTTTTTTAAAACAATGTAAATTTGGACTGCAAAAGTTGTCATTTGTCCCAAATATGCATATGTCCCACATAAATATTGATTATAAAATTTTAAGTATATATAAATGTTGAGTATATAAATTATTATTATAATCATCATCATCATCACCACCTGATAGACAATGAAAGGGGAAAAGTCTCAAAGACTTGGAACCTAAGCCATATTTAGGGATCGAGATTTTTGACTTTGATTTTTATTCTACTTTTAGTTTAGTTGAGTGTATATAAAATACATTTATAGTAATACTTTATATATATTTTATATATTTCATAATTTTTATTATATAAAAATAGCATGAATGTGTAAATAAATTCATTTATAGTGCATTTATGATGTGTTATTATGTATAAATTAATATAATATATACATAACTATAAAGCATACATTATAATTGTTATAATTAATTAATTGATAATTGATTTATATATTATTATTATTATTATTATTATTACAAATTGTATTATTTAAATGATATCTATTTATTGATTAAGATCAGTATAAAAATATACTATGCTACCAAAAAAAAAAAGGGTCTATCCTTTTTTTGGATACACAGAAAATGTATTTCAAGGATTGAGTTTTTTTGCTCTTTGGTAAAATTTATTTATTAAAATCGTTCTCAACATTTCACATCATTAGGATCAAAACCTTTTTTTAATTTATTTCAGCACCCCATAGTTTAGCCTTTTAACAACTGCACTACAAATTAGGAAATCACAGCTGCCATAGTAGTCCATTTGGAGTTCCTCTTAAAGACAAATTCCTCATGCTTATATTGGTCAAGCAATGAGATGTGGTTCCTCACCTATTCTTGTGGCCCATATCTTGTCTTGTGAGAGCCCTATGCTATTGTTTAGCTTTTCACAGGAAGATATGCTTGACTGAACACTGGGCCACTGAACATTGTTAGCAGCACATAAAGGCAGCCGGCGTACTCTCTCTCTCTCTCTCTCTCTCTCTCTCTCTCTCTCTCTCTCTGAAAACAATAGAGCCCCTACTAAGACTTTCTTGACATCTCTTATACAATTTTCAGTCAAGTGAATGTACACATTAACTGCATGGATATCTGAGATTGTCTCTTTTTGTTAGCTTTACTGGTGATTGCGGCCTTTGTTAAATGTTCTTGTTTGGGCTCCATGAAGCGTATTTCCTCAATTTGTACAGTTGTGTGCCTTTGAATGTCTCTCTGGTGGTCAGGAGGTTACTGCTTTAAGCTGGTGTAACCAATGAAAATGAACTCCACCCTTTTTATTCCAATTTCACCGCTGTCACATCATAGAAAATGTTCCTCTTGCCCACCTGCTCATATAATGAGTTATCTTGACCCACTAAGAAGGCTATGTCAATGGTGATTGTAAGGGACACAGATATGTCACGACATTGTGTTTCTCCAAAGACATTTCACTATTATGTGTTGTTAGCTGGGTCAGACAGTGCTTGCTTGAATACACTGCTTTGAGTACAGTCCTGTTTCTTAGCCTCATTGCGTGTTCTTTTTCAGTCCTGCAGTAGAGATTATGTACACTACATTTATTATGCAACACATGGGCGTAGAATACACGGGGGACACATCTCCTGCACTTTTAAATTAACGTAAATTCATCCCCCGCACTTTTCTAGGGCAAGCAGAGGTTGTTTTTTTTTCGGTTCATGTAGAGGTTTTCAAGGGCCAGTGTGAATAAATCTGGATTTAAATTCAAAGAGACAAGATGGTCTTTGCATGACCCAACGTTTTATTCATATCCAAAACAATGTGAATATTATGGAGCGCTGAACACTCTTCTGCAGTGTATGTTTCATTCATACTCAAAGCTGCAGGGCACTCTCGCACTGAAAGTCCAAAACGACCTCATAGAAGTAAAAACTTATAGAAGTAATTACTTATGACGTGTGCAGGAAATCCCTAATATGGACAAAGGCATCCGGCTATGGTTGTAGCTAAGCTGAATAAAAAGCAGAAACGTTTTGACTGATGAAACGTGAAGACAAAAAACACACGATTGCGACAGTATATGGGTTATGTGTTTAAGTCATCTTCAGGTAATAAATAAATAAAGCATATGAATATAAGTGCTAAGTGACGTATAAACTATATTTTCTGCCTTATTATGTGATAAAAATGGAAAAAGTGTTTGTAGTATATAAAACAATCATAAAATTGTCATAAGGAAAATATAATAGAATACAAAATAGGGCTGCACGATAAATCGCATGTGATATTTAATGCGCATCTTGTCAGTAAAGACGGTTCTGTAATCAGCGGTAAATCTCCATCACCTGCGGGCTTTCACATTGAGCAGCATTAACTACACAGAGCCGTTGTTCACTGACGAGCTGCGCAAAACCACGTTCATATTCGCGCGATTTTTTGCGCAGCTCGTCAGTGAACAACGGCTCTGTGTAGTTAATGCTGCTCAATGTGAAAGCCCGCAGGTGATGGAGATTTACCGCTGATTACAGAACTGGCTTTCTGACAAGATGCGCATTAAATATCGCATGCGATTTATCGTGCAGCCCTAATACAAAAGGTTATTGTCCAGCAGTGTATTTGATTTTCTTAGCCAATTAAAAGAGATTAGGGAAAAAAACTGTAAATTAGACTAGATAGATAGATAGATAGACAGACAGACAGAGAGATAGATAGATAGATAGATAGATAGATAGAGGCATGAGTGATCCCTCAAATTGTGTGTCTGATTGAGGAGAGGTGTGCTATTACTTTTCTAAGTAATCACCTGGTGAAATGAAAGAGGAAAACTTACATTGAAGGAAAAACCAAGGGGCCAAGCTTTTTTTACTTTGACCAGTAAGAAGCCACCTCGTAAAACACTCTAATATTTGCATAGAAACAACCTAAAGCCGCTCAGAACACCTTAGCTCTACCCCATATTAACAACATGGCAACCAATTACAACCCTTTATAGCATCAAGGTCCGCTACAGACACCACTTAGGGTCATAATATAATGTGATATAATAATCCTAAACATTTTTGAGATTTTAAGAGATGTGCATTTTATTTTATTTTTTTACACCTTGGTATAAGTTTATTCTCTCTTTTTTTGTTGCTCAAAGTAGAGGTGTGCTATTAATTTTAAGTTACTTAAAGTAATCCAACTTAACTGACTTGGTGAAAAGGAAGAGAAAAAAGTCCTTTAGACTTACATAGACTATTTTTAAGCTATATTTAGGGACAACGCTTTTCTGACATTGACCAGTAAGTAGTCACCTAGAAAACCACTCAGAACACTCTAGCTTTGTTAAGAAACACTCTAAAAATGGAACACCTTAGCTACCAAACGTTAACACAGTAACCTACTGTACAACGCTTTAGCATCGTATTCTGTGGCAAAGACCTCACACGTTATCTTCAGAAATCCATCCATCTGAAGCATCCTGGCGTAACGTTCTATCATAAGATCTTCTGAGGTTTAAACATAACCATTAGGGTTGCAAGCCCAGATGTTTACCCAAAAAGCCACACCATCCATCCATCCTAACGCCTTGCATTGAATTCTTCCATTCAGATGCTGCGCCTATTAGGATCGGTTCCAACCCAGATGGTGAACAGCGCTTCACTGGTCTTCTACAAGACCTCCGGCTGTACTCCAGCTGGCTCAGCTGCTCCGAGATTCACGAGCTCCACAACCAACCAGCCGAGAATGACCTCCACAATGTGTCAGGGTACCTGACATACAGGCAGGAGGAGAAACTGAAGTCATTTTTGGTCGAAGTACGGGACGATCAAGAAGAGGAGGGTGAGGAGATTTTCTACCTACAACTGGTGGCAGTTCAAGGTGGAGCCCGTCTGCCGATGCCCAGACCGACCGCCATCCTCAAAGTCATGAAGAGTGATAATGCCAATGGACTTTTCGGCTTTACTGGTTCCTGCATACCAGATGTAGGTTTTTTTTTGTATTATTTTATTATAAAAATCTATGTTATTTTATTTAGAAATCTATAATGTTGCTGCACAGATAGCCTTCTGACCAGCACAATTAAGGTCTAATGAGTTAACATCTAACCGTATTATTTGATCAAGTACCCAAGTTGCTTCTTTGTCAGTGTTTGGTTAACCTCCCCTCCGAAAGCACATAACATGACCCCTAGCTGTGAGATGTCTTCACGTATATTTAATATGTCTTCACACCTGGATGGATGGAGCGTGCATTCTTCTCTTCAAGGAGATTGGATGCATGGCATCTCCAATGGCTTGTTCGATTAACAAGACAGATGGTCAGTGAATTCCTTTAGAGGAAGACCTCTCAACTAATGACAGAAAAGACACAATAGCACACGTGCTTTCTCTTATGCTCTCAGTCTCAGCAATTAGAAGCAGGAAAAAAGCACTTTAGCGCTACACATTTAGTAACTAATTTCCTTTCCATTTAACCAGTTAAGTGAAATGTAAACACTGTAAACAGTTTAATGATCATGTAACTCAAAACTGTTTCTCAGTCTGAGTTTATAACCCAACAACATCTAAAATTCTGAATGGTTACAGTAATTATGTTAAAAGATGCTGAAGTTAATTTTGTTGTGCTATAGTTGGCTTACAGCAACCTTTATCCTTTCTTTATCAGATATCTGAAGAAGGCTCAATGATCTCCTGTGTAGAGCGCCCTGGATCATGTCTATGTAAACTACACCGTCACTCAGGTTGATTCACCCGCAGACTCGTTAAATGCCTCAGACTTTGCCAGTGCTACAGGCTCCATCCATTTCTTGCCAGGCCAGCGCTCTGAGGTAACAGGATCGACCTGTCAAGCAGTTATTATTAATGGCCATAGGACCACCAATTATGGGGGAATGTTATAATATTGTTATTATTGTGTAATGGCTGGACAACATCTGTTCACATGATGACTGTATATGTATATAAATACGTTTGCATTAATGAATGTAGTTGATGTCTTTATATATACCCATTTTTATTAACGCTGTATTACAGCCAAACTGTTAATATATGGCTCCATCCGGTGGTGGTTTTAGCCACTTTGTTTAATTGATGGTGTAAATTCATGTGTAAGTAATGGCAAAGCCTCACTCATAAATGCCTTCATATTTGATGTCTCTTGTCTCCCAGGTTTTAAACCTGCTGGTTCTAAATGATGACCTGCCTGAGGTTGACGAGCACTTCCAGGTTAGGCTGGTGTCAGCTGAATCAGGTGATGGGAAACCAGGTTCTACTCCCAGTGGAGCCAGCATTGACCCAAACAATGCCATCAACAGCATTACAGTCAAAGCCAGCGATCATCCATATGGTACATTGGTATATTTATATGTTTTTATTATTTTAGCAACATTGCTTCATTTATGCAGCCAGATGTCGTAATTGACTGGTTATTAATGTAATTTCAGGCCTGCTGCAATTTCAAGCTACCCCAGTGCCTGTGGGTATGATCAGACCTGCACTGGAGGAAGCCCATGTGACTGTTCAAGAGGAGACTGGTGTGGTCAGTCTGCTGGTGGCCAGAGCACAAGGACTGCTGGGAAGGGTGATGGTGGGCTATCGCACGTCTCCATTCACAGCTGCTGGTTCAGAGGACTACGAGGTACCAACAGCTGTTGAACATATTTTTTGGGGGGGAATCAAGGACTCCTGACAAAAAAAAATTTATAAAATAAGAAGCACAACTATTTTCAACTGATAATAATTTTTTCTTTTTTTTTTTGAGCACCAAATCAGCATATTAGAATGATTACTGAAGGATCATGTGACAGCTTTGCTATCACAGGAATAAATTCAAATTTAAATATAAAAACCTACTAAAATTAGAAATCTTATTTTAAATTGTAATAATATTTCACAATATTACTGTTTTTACTGTATTTTTGACAACATTACAGAATCTTATTGACCTCAAATTTTTGGACCGTGTGTATGTTTTTGGTATTTGCTCTCTTATACGGTTCAGCAAAAAGAGAGTCATTTTTCACTACCAAGATCCCCTAATGAAATTCCTTTGTATATTAAAACGACACAATTCCTTTCCATTTTCTGACAGGACACAGAGGGATTTCTAGACTTCTTGCCTGGCGAGAGATTTAAGTACATCAATGTGACTATTATAGACAACTTGGTCCCGGAGTTGGACAAAGTCTTCAGAGTGGACCTCTATAATCCAAATGGAGGAGGTAAGAAAGCAGTTAAAAACTTTCAGAGTGTCCTCGCTTTTATCTTCCTGATTTTTCTTTCACTGTTTCCGCATGCACTGTCTCCTATGGGCTCCATTCATGCTGTTTGGGCATGATTATGGAGCACTCTGTATGATTTCAATATGCACTATGTGTGATTCCTGTCTGTTCCTGCCTGGCTCCTGTGTGCTTCTTAAGTGGATCCGTTTTTTGCAAGTGAAGGCAGTGGAAATGGCGAGAGTGACACTGACTTCTTAATTCCATCCTTTCACTATCATCATGGTAAGATTCTTTTTGTCATGTTATTTTTCTCCCACAGTTTGCTTTTTCCTTATTTACATTATTCGCTGTAATACCAGACTGGATGCTGTGGGGGAAAAAAATACCAGTTTGACTATATATACTGTAAACCTAAAGTGCCTCTTAATATTGTCAAAGTTCCCTTCAGGTCGAACAAAAGAGTTTTTATTTGTTTTTATTATTTCCTAACTGCTTGAATTGCTCCTGCTTTTGGCATTTTACTGTGCTTTTTGTTTTTCTTTATTTTGTTGATTTATTGCGTAATTGAGGTCGCCCCTTACACAAGCTTTATTTTGTAAGTCCTAGATTAAAGTTGTTAAGTTTAAGAGCCACCCATAACGGTCAAATCCCCAGACTCTGGATTGTAGACCCTGATTTCTGCCAAGCTGTTTACATAGTACTAAGGCCTGCGAGTAGTACCAGGAGAGACGTGGGAAAAGCAAATAGCCTTCATGTTTAGGGGAGGCCAGTAGGGGTAAATGATGATTTGAAAATGTCACAGTTCACCTCTGTGACACGTCTTGGCCCTTCTTTAGGAAGTGTTTAAAAGTAGTAGTAGCAGTAAAAATAGGAGTCTACTTAGTTTCTTTTATATTATAGCTTGAATAATGATTTAAAAAATGTTTTGCTCCGAAGCTAACCTCGGTGCTGCTGCTCGTATCATTGTGACCATAGCTGCTTCTGATGAGGCTCATGGCATCTTCCAGTTCAGTGCCGACTCTCTGACTGTGAATGGCACAGAGCCTGAGGAGGGCAGGAGTACTGTAGTACTGCAGGTCAGTTCTAAACTAATGAACATGGATCATCATCAATTCTTTTGTCCCAGCTATGAATTTATAAAAAAAAAAAAAAAAAAAACTTAAAAATGCATTTATATGTTACAAACATATAATTATTAAATGGGATGGGATCTTTTAGAATTATTCCTTAGAAACAAAAATCGATATTTGAATATGCAAACAATAGTTGAAAAACCTGAAGTCATGTTGTCCAATAAACATGCAGAAATAAGATCATAGTCGTATCATTGTGACCATAGCTGCTTCTGATGAGGCTCATGGCATCTTCCAGTTCAGTGCCGACTCTCTGACTGTGAATGGCACAGAGCCTGAGGAGGGCAGGAGTACTGTAGTACTGCAGGTCAGTTCTAAACTAATGAACATGGATCATCATCAATTCTTTTGTCCCAGCTAATTTATAAAAAAAAAAAAAAAAAAAAAACTTAAAAATGCATTTATATGTTACAAACATATAATTATTAAATGGGATGGGATCTTTTAGAATTATTCCTTAGAAACAAAAATCGATATTTGAATATGCAAACAATATTTGAAAAACCTGAAGTCATGTTGTACAATAAACATGCAGAAATAATATCATAGACCAGATCTTGAAAAAAAATATGTTCACTGTCGTTGGGTTTTGAAAGAGGTTGCATGCTCAGCAAGCCTGCATTTATTTAATCAAAATTACATTAAAACAGTATTGTTGTGAAATATTATTCAAATTTAAATAAGCTGTTTTTTATTTTAAAATTTATTTTATTCCTGTGATGGCAAAGCATTCATTACACCAGTCTTCAGTGTCACATGACCCTTCGGAAATATGCATTTTAAGAGCCGTTAAGTTAAAAATAAATAAATAAAAAATAAACATTTATTGAAACCAACATGAAAACAAATTGTACAGATGAGAGAAATGCTAATGTTTAATATGAGTAAGTTTCATGCTTTTCTCAGGTGATTCATACTTTTGGTGCTCTGTCCAGTGTGAAAGTGTATTGGGAGGCAGATGCTAATTCAGAGGGAGAGCTTGTTTATAGATCTGGGAATGTGACCTTTGAGGTGGGCCAGACTATTGGAAGCATCTACCTACTGATTTCCCAAGATGATATTCCAGAACTTGACAAGAGCTTCAGAGTCCGCCTCTCTAATGTTTCTCATGGTCGACTCGGGAAGGAAACTACTGCCATGCTGACTGTATTGGCCAGTGACGACCCTTATGGACTTTTTGTGTTCTATGAAATCAGCAGACCAATTCGTGTGCCAGAAGCAAATGCTGTCATCACCCTGACCATACAGAGAAGAAAGGGCTTAATGGGAAGGGTGCGAGTGACATATCGAACATTGAGGGGCACTGATACAGCTCCATATAGCACACCAGGAGTGGGTCGGGCCAGTGCAGGGAATGACTTTGTGCCTGTTGTGGAGTCTGTGATGTTCTCTGCTAATCAGAGTGAAGTAAATGTGACCTTGAGGGTACTTGAAGATGAGGAGCCGGAGAGGGCGGAATCTGTATTTTTGGAACTTGTCAACGTCACTTTGGTTGAAGGGCTTCAACCCAGACCAGGTAAAAGTCACTTGGAAGGTGTTTTGAATTATTATCTATGAAATGCACAAATCAATACTGCATTAAAAAAAAAAACCATGATGTGTACTTAGAATAATTGTTGGTTTTCCAGTTGCTCTTTCCCCTCGACTTGGCCCACGGAACACCACAGTTGCCCAGATCATTATAGAGGCCAGAGATGATGCTTTTGGGGTGCTACAGTTGTCTTCCCCAGCAGTGAGCATACCCGAGTACTACATCGGACCTATTATCAATGTAACGCGTATTGGAGGAATTTTTGCTGATGTGTCTGTCAAGTTCAGAGCAGTGCCACTGACTGCTAGAGTGGGTGAGTTTTAATGACATGTATTTCTGTTGTTAGGAACCTTGCTGTGGAATGGAATTTTCTCAATTATTCTAGGAAAGGAAAATGTTTGATGGACACTTTTATTGAGCAAGTCCACATTAAACTGGTCGAAATTTATAATCTTACAGGACAATTTTGTTTTAAATAGTTGTTGTTCTTTTGAACATTCTATTCATCAAAGGAAAAAAAAATGATGACAGCTTCCACAAAAATATTAAGCAGCAAAACTGTCATATCAGCATATTAGATGATTTCTGAAGGATCATGTGACACTGAAGACTGGAGTAATGGCTGATGTAAATTCAGCTTTCCCATCAAAAGAATAAATTGCAATTATATATTTTTTCTGTTTTAATAGGTTTTAAATTGTAATGTTTAAACGTATTTTATATTGTAATATTTCATTAATTAATGGAATATGTTTATAATGGAATTAATGGAATTATGTATATAAAAATCAAATGTTATATCCAC